ACTAAAATATCAATACCTATATATTTCCAATATTAATCGGGAGTCTCAAATACTTATATAGTTCGCGTATATATTCTCTTCACTGAACGATCTAACAGCGGTTATGCGATCTTATAGCGAGGACAGTTAAAGAAAATAATTATCCATCGTACCGGCGAAAAAGTTCTGAATGAAACTATACTACTTAAAATAAAAAAAAGAAGATATATAATCATCTTTCTCTATCACTATCATATAGAAATAGAAGCCTGCTAACACATTGTATCTGAAATTTTTATCATACACAATATAATACATATTTCTTAAATATCAATATTTTTAATATCAGAATATTGATTGTTATGAAAATGGTAAAATTATATCAATTATAATAAAGAAATGAAGTTTTTTCCACAACAATAAATTAATAAAAAAATTTTTTTTTTGCAAGAAAATAATTAACATTCGTCATAAAACGTCAATTCGATATGCAAACCTATCATTTTTCTTTTGTGTACACATACACATCTTGTATTAAAGAGTTTATGTTAAATAAAAGTTAAGATGTAGATATGCAATTTTGGGATACCATATAAAATGGAAAATAAGACATCTTATTTTAGTAGCTGATATGTCTTTTCGCCATGTGCCATAATATGAAATGTCGCACGTAGGTATAGCTTATAGCAGAAAGCTATAAGGTGGATAGGTTTCGAGAGAATCATAAAACAAATAGAATAAATATGCTATAGCTACTACTTTTATATTAAAAGACTGTATTAGTAGTTGGTAAAATTATATACAATATTATTATATGAAATATATTTTCATATTAGAATATCGATAATTTTTGTATTCTTAATTTTATAATTTCTTTACAGACTTATGTCTTAATAGCCTTTTGTATTTTATTTAACAAACTGTTTGTAACCAACATTAGATAATTTAGATTAGGATTGACTTGAATTGTTCCTTGAAAATTATATTAAATTTTTCACATTGGAATTTTTTTAAATTTCACATTGGAAACACATTTTATAAAAAGATTTTATAAAAAATCGTATACATGCAGGGTGGCCCGTGTAAAGTGTTACAAGCTATTATCCCTGAAAGTGTGTGTCAAATGACTAATATGTTCAGACAAAAGTTTTATGACTTTGAGGAGAGCATAAGATGGTACCATTTGTTTGACCTTGGGTAACGTTGCAAAGTGAGAGCAAGGCCACTTTGAATTTTTTAAATGGAACCCCTCATTTTTATTACATATTCTTGTAGCTTACCTTGAGAGCTTTCCAAAATACTACAATTAAGTTCATTTTCATTAAGTACTTTTCGAGTTATGAGGCTTGAAAGTTACAATATGGCATTAGCATTATACAAGGTATCCGACTGATGTTGTTCAGGATCATGTCCTGGATAACGTTTGTTAATATCAAAGTCATTGAAGAGTATTCCTTTTATTTTCATTTTTGCACTAAAAATTCATTTTTACGTAAAAATGAATTTTTAGTGCAAAAATGAAAATAAAAGGAATACTCTTCAATGACTTTGATATTAACAAACGTTATCCAGGACATGATCCTGAACAACATCAGTCGGATACCTTGTATAATGCTAATGCCATATTGTAACTTTCAAGCCTCATAACTCGAAAAGTACTTAATGAGAATGAACCTAATCATAGTGTTTTGGAAAGCTCTCAAGGTAAGCTACAAGAATATGTAATAAAAATGAGGGCTTCCATTTAAAAAATTCAAAGTGGTCTTGCTCTCACTTTGACAACGCTACCCAAGGTCAAACAAATGGTACCATCTTATGCTCTCCTCAAAGTCATAAAACTTTTGTCTGAATATATTAGTCATTTGACACACACTTTCAGGGATAATAGCTTGTAACACTTTATATGGGCCACCCTGTATATCGGAAACATTACCTCGCTAACGATTCTCGCATGCATTTTCGATCATGACACGTTATGCATGTCATTTGTTAATACATTAAAATGCGCGTTAGAAAAAAAATGTCTGTTATAGTAGTTTATGCATAAAATACAGATGTATTATTTTATCTTATGTAACATGCTACGCGTAATTCCCTCATATGCGCACGACTATTACGCAAATGTATAACATGTACGCGCGCGCTTAAGCGATTCGTTCGCGATGAACCCTAATCAAGGACATGCGATATTTCACAGACAGAATTTCCTTTAGATCCAACACGGAGATTATCGAGCAATGAATAGATAACCATTGCAGAAAAGTCACGCAAAGTTGAGCATTGTACTTTGCGAGGATCGTATCGTAAAAGCGTCATCACAATTTTCGCGCCTAACTGTGAATTTCTCGTAATCTGCATACAATCTAATTTCCTTTTTGATTGCCATAACTCCATAGATGAACATATACTCAACCAAATGAGACCATTTCCACATTATATTCATTGTTATTTATGTACTACATACAAACATTATATATACAAATTTTTTATTAATTGTAAAAGCCTTTTATTTTAATAAGGTTTGAATAAGAATTTAGTTTGTGAACAAACTCGGGTTTATACATGTAGAAATCTTCTTTCACATTTTCTAATTCTGAATAAGATCACTGCACCAATCAATGAACAAATAAGCATTTACAATATATGTTGCAAATTATACTGCGTATGCACACACGCACGCGCGCGCGCGCACGCGCACACACACACACACACACACACACACACACACACACACACACACACACACACACACAAGAAAAAATAATAAACTAGTGGGTTATTTATTCTTTAAAAATGTCATGTGTCAAATTTATAAAAAAATAAGAAAAAGTATAAAGTTTTTATCAAAACAGTAAAGAAATACAAAAAATACAGCTGGTTAAAGTTTAGAACGTTCTTGGAGCGATTTTTTCTTGGCCAGAATTACAACAGATTTTTTCTTGGCCAAAGAAGTTACAACAAAAAGTTTGGCCCATTTCTCCTTTTGCACAGAGCTACATCTACATGTTAGACAACAAATAAAAAACACCCCGATCGAATACAGACATATTCGAAGGCATCCTTAATGGAGAATTTTGTTAAATTCTCCAAGAGTACTTTTTCGCCTTTAAGGATGCCTTCCGATACATGTATCCGATCGGGGTCTTTTTTATTTGTTGTCTAACATACAGATATAGCTCTGTGCAAAAGGAGAAATGGGCCAAACCATTTTGAAAAAATTGCTCCAAGATTCCAAACTTCAACCAGCTAAAAATACTAGTTAATGACTGATGCGTACTACAAATAAATGATCAATGTGTACTAAGAGAAAAGAAATACATCTTTTTAGTACATATTCCGTTAACTAAATACTGATAGGTATTAGTAAATTTCTGTTACAAGTCATTAAAATAAAATGTATGGAGCGGAAAGTGCCTCTTCATAGAAGAGACTCAAGATTCAGTCGAATTGAAAGCGCTTCTATTTGCTGCATCTTGTAAGTGGTTCTTTCGATCGGGACGTATGCGCCATCGACAATCTCCATTCGTCAAGAAATTCTTTTGTCGCGCCCTTCTAGGTAGAATGTGCGGAGCAAGCAGAAGAAAAGAGAGTTTCGAATTGGAATAACCCAGTAACAACTGTCGCGGCATTTTCTAGCTTTTGAGATGCAAGAAAATAACGATACAGCAGTACGCATACAATCACATGACAAAATATGATTGTCTTCCGTGTTGAAAGGATCCGGGAGGACATCGTATTAGCAAAGTAATATTAAATGTAAAGTGTAAAAAATGCGTTCTCAGACCAGGTTAGAAACAAATTACAGTCGCAGACAAGAGCGGTAAAGTAATCAAGTATGCGACGAAAGAGTTCGAAAGAAGAAGCCTCCGTAAAGATGCAAAATCATGCTCGTGTCTTCATGATGCTACTCAAATATCTAAAAATTTAGCAAGATACAAATTTGAAAATTATTTTTAGTGGACTATCAAAATAATTACATAGTAATCTCAAGCATGAGTAATGCTGGGAAAAGTTTTTTAATATTCTAGCAATCAGTTTGAGCATTCTATATAATTATTTTAATGATGGATGTCTTCACGAGTTTTACATATTCAAATCTGATTTATTTTCCACATAATTGATGCAGAATGAGAAGATGAAAGAATCATGAATTGGTAAAAGACATGGAAACGATTGTGTCTTGATGGTATAAAAATAAGAGAAAAAAGAATTAAGTATCAGAATTGCTCAGAAATTACATACATAATTATTTAAATTCCAAGAATCTCCAAACACACGCAACAGGAAAAGAAACCATAAGCTTCCGAGCTACCGTTTCGCAATGTTTCCAATAACTGAATTTTATTTCAATGTAACAATTAATTAAAATCGAAAATATTTCTCACTAAAAAATCTTTTTAGTGAAAAATATGTATATGTATTTCCGATCTCGTAACATATAGGATTTTTATAGACTTTCAAGATATTTTTTAATGGCAATTTCTCTTTCTCTTTCTCTCTCTCTCTCTCTCTCTCTCGATATATCTTCAGATTTTTCTACTTCCAAAGAATACTGTATGGTAATAATTCGCCATATATAAAAAAAAGTCGACTTTTTTCTTTTAGACAGCTGCATATACAATAGATATATCCGACGCACCAATCTAACTAAAAGCCCTAGGTAGCGCTTGTGCTACAAATGCATTCTTTCTTTCGTTGTTTTTCTCTAACCCTTTCCTAAGTACTCGACAGATGACAAACGGCACAAATAGAGTGCGAATAAAGACGTGGAATTTAATGCTGCATATGTCAAGAATGTTTTGTGTCGCTCAGTATATCTATCTTCCGAGGAACGGATCCATGAAACTTGTGCGCAAAGTTACCGAGGAACAATGCGTCACGAGTGAAATTGGTACATCGCATGTTTCCCGTATAATGTAGTTGCCGTATAATATGACGCAAACTACGTTGTCCGTGTAATGTAAGTGATGATGCCATATTCTGAAGTGATCACGACACTTTCCAAAAATTTCGACGACAGATTACGTATATTCTACTTTGATTAAAATATAGATATTAAGAGCAAATAACAACCGCCTACCTTCTAGTTCGACGATCTTGCCGGCTCTCTTCAATGCCTTTACCGCCTCATCGTGTGTGGCTTCTCGTAGATCTTCGCCGTTTACCGCCAAAATAGCATCGCCGACGTAAAGTTGTTCAGTAGCGTCCGCTGCCATGCCTTTAAAGATCTTCGAGATGAGGATCGGCATTTTGTTCTCCTTGCCGCCCTTTATCGAAATTCCTAAGCCATTGTTGTCACTTTTGACCACACGGACAACGCGCTTCTGATTGGCTACCGAATCGGGCACATCCGGATCGTTCAAACTATCCACATTGTTATTGTTGATGTTGCCGTTGTTCAGAGCGTTGTTACCGGTCTCACAACTCTCATCGAGCGAAATGCTGAGATAATCGTCTTCCAAAGAAACGAATACGCGATACCACTGACCGCGCACTTGAGTTTCGAGAATGCCGGCACGTCCTGACGCTGAGGATGAGGCACCTGTAGTCGTGGTAGTCGACGAAGAGGATGATGATGTCGCCGCGGTCACCATCGAACCGATGCCCATTACTCCCATGGCCGAAGAAGCTTGGCCGCTACCACACAACTCTACCATTTCGATTTCTTCGCAAGCTGTACGCTGCAACATATACCAATAATTGCAAACGTAGGATAACTTCTTCTTCTTTATATTTATCTACCACTTTAAATATTTACTATGCGCATAAAATTTCATGATTGTTTATTGAGTGAGAGAAAGAGAGATTAAAAAATAAGAAGAACATTTTCTTATAAATAAACATCTAGAAAATCTTTCTACCTTGAAATATAAGCGATGAAAAAATAAAATTGTAAATGAATAACTTTGTGCGAATATACCTACATATCTGTTATTACACTCAAACAAAGATATAAACAAGAGACACAGTTTTATGGAAAGAAAGAGATTTAAAAAATCTTAATGACTTTATCTTATACCTCGTTCAATTTTCAATGAAAAGTTCGAGAAAAATGGCAACATATAAAATGGACATTACAGTGCATCGCGAATGAATGGCGCTGGTACTCGACGACGTGAATAAATCAATTGTACTATATGCTGGCGAATTCGTAATTTGAAAATAATTGATAGCGGTCGACAGTGACGTGGTCGAGCTCTCTTTGTTTTCCTCCTACACCATTATTTCCATCAATCCAGTATCGCGCCGCAACAATAGCGTTACCACTGCCCGCGTAAAATGGTATATGGATGCAACGGAAAGCAAATAATTAGAAGAAAATTGCATGCGCTTACGAAATATACGTATTGTGCGTGCATGCGTGCGTGCGCTTGTGTGTGCGCACGCGCGCACGCGCGCGTGTGATAGACTTCAACTCTATCTTTCGCTATCTACACTTTATTTTTAATTAATTCTGAAAATTTTAATGAATCCTGTTCGAAGAGAATGTTTAGTTAGAGAAATCATTAGTTCACAAAAGAAAACTCAGAAAGGACCCCGCAACAGTTCTTATGGAAATAGAGTTCCGATCAAATTAGCTAAAATTTTGACATGATCTATATTTTGGCTCACTGATCAAAAGTCTCAATGATCATCAAGTCGAATAATCAATGGTTTTGATGTTATGGCGACTCAAACATCCAAAATTTACCTCCATCAGGCAGTATGACGTGATGTTAGGCATGTGAGATTTAATTTAATGTGTTTCATCCCCTTAAAATCTTCATTCATACTTTTACTTTTATGTGCTTACACACACACACGCACGCACGCACGCACGCACGCACGCACGCACGCACGCACGCACACACAGAGAGAGAGAGAGAGAGAGAGAGAGTGAGAGAGAGAGAGAGAGAGAGAGAGAGACACGCGCGCGCGCACAGTTTGGAGTTTCTTCGTAATAGAGACAAGATCGGAGGACAATCCAGCCGACGAAGGCAAGATCGGAGGATGATCCAGCCGATGATCAGCACACCGAAATCCGGACTCTGGTAATTATTGAAAGGTCTCACACGTACGATTGCATCCAAACATACGTGATCATTTGACTCATGAAACGTGTGCGTGCGTGCGTGCGTGCGTGCGTGTACTTGAGTATGTGTGTAAGTGCATGTATTGTCAGGGCCTAAAAGGTTGCAACACTTCTTTTAAAGGGTTTCGGAATGCAGCCTATTCACCGAGCGATTCTTATTTGCGGATCCATGAATAAGAACCAAATTGCTCGGTAAGCAAGCTGTATTCCGAAACCCATCGAAAAAAAAGTATTACAACCTTTTAGGTCTTAACTATATATAAAACTAAAAGTGTGAATGAAGATTTTGAAGGGGATAAAACACACTAAATTAAATCCCACGTGCAACCTAACGTCACGTCATACCGCCTGGCAATAGAGGTAAATTTTGGATGTTTGAGCCGCCATAACTTCAAAACTATTGATTATTCGGCCTGGTGACTATTAAGACTTTTGAAGAGTGAGCCAAAATCTAGATTATATCAAAATTTCAGCCAATTTGACCGAGATCCCATTTCCATAAGAACTGTTGCGGGGTCCTTTGTAAAACAAATAAAATCAGGAATTCATGGTCATAAAGTTCTGACCCTATCGAATTTTGAAGATCACAAAATAGTATGTTTAACGTTCAATGAAAAAAATATAACATCATCTTTTAGGAAATACAACGTCACTATTTTAATGCGCGCAAAGAAACGATCATATCAATATTATTATTTAATCCTCGAATGTCGTGATACACGGAGAGAATTTTTTCTTAGAGTTTACCCTGAAAATATGATAGTCATGGGACAACATTGTATTTCGAAGAATTTTAATGTAAATCTCTCTTATTCATTAATAAAACTACAATAAAATATAAAATAAGTTTGATTAATTTTACTGAAGTGTACGGTAAAAATCTTTAAAATATTGTATTATACCACAACTACCATATTTTTAGGATAAATTTTAAAAGAAAATTCTCTCCGTGTACTCGCACAGCGGACGTAGGGTCAAAAGTGACCCAAAAATGAAATTGTTTTAAAACGTTCGAAAAGCAGTTTTATAATTATGTAGTAAATTATAATTATGTAGTAAATTATTTCAAATATGTAGAAGGAGAAATAAAAACACATATTTATCATAGAAACAAATATCCATTTATTCATTTTCTTCACAGTTGAAAAAAATAAACAACTTTAACTCGCGAGACCCTGCGTCCGTCGGTGGAAGATTAAACAGTTTTCAAATCTGGTAAAAATGAATTTATCATATATTATATATTAGGCACTTTGTGATATTTTCACAAAGTGTTGTAATAAAATACTTTAACAAATACTTTTGGCAAATAAATTCTCCTAAAAAGTCTCTACAGCTACCTAAATATATACATACATATAAGTTCTACGCAAAAGTAATGGAATAGCAAGGTATCGTAAATGACAATGACCGCGTTTAATACGATAATATGTCGACACGTAGATATGTGGTAAGGTTATAATTAAAGTGCTTGTCTCTGGGAATTAGTCCTGCGCCAGTTCTGCCTTCGAATTGCTTATGTGAAAATACACGGACTGTCTTTATGTATAGATGTTTCTAAACCATGTTTCAATTAACATCTGACACCTTTGGAGATCATAAATTTATAATATACCAATTGAAATAATTTATTAATTATACTTCTATGACGTAAAGATTATACAAAAAAATTCTTACATATCGTAAATAAAAATCTTTAACTCTTTAACTATAAAATAAATCCATTCAGACGTGCGCGTTCTCATATTCTGAAATGTTTAGTTTCGTAATCGTTTATGTTCTTAAATCTTTAAGGTTCCAATTCTTCCTAGAATCTCTTTATTTCTTAAGCCTTTGCTACTTTTTATTTACTTACAAAGAAAAAAATACAAAACATCAACTACATAAGAATTTCCTTCCTATTGAAATTCTTGAATGGAAGCTTTGAATGCTCATTATATTTTCGATAACAATATTGAATTACAGTCTCTCTTGTTACTATTGACGCAAACTTTGAAAGACATCACGTATCTACGACTACGCACGGTTTCAGTATGAACTAAAGATATTTTACAAACTAAAATATATTACAGAAAAGATAATACTTCCGTACGCTTTAAAACAATTGAAATAGTGCGTGCGTGCGTGCGTGCGTGCGTGTTACAAACACTATCCAAACTCAAAATGTTGGCATAAAAAGTTGAACGATTGTATAAAAATTTGCCGGCATCAATTATTATACGAGTATATCTACAGTCATATATATACAGGGTGTTTCCAAATTAAATGGCAAAACTTCGGGAGCGTGTAGAGGAGTAAAAAACTAAGAAAAAAAGTTCTATAGACATATGCTCGTTTTTGCTCCGTTTCAGAGAAATCGAAAAAAAATGTTTACATTTCTTGCCATATCTAGCACCGACATATTTGATTACATTTTCCACTTTCTGTTATGAATTTGTCAGTCGCTCTTTGAAA